CCAGCCGCCCGCTCCAGCCCTCGCCACCGGTCACGCTTCCTCCAGCAGAGCAGCAAGCGAGAGCCCGTTTTGTTGTCTTGCTCATTTGCTCTTGAAGTAAAAGCTCTTTTTAAATTAAAACTGATCCTGTAATTGCCTTTTTTAGGCAGCTGGAGGTTTTCCTGTTGTTCTTAATCAGCATAATTCCTTAAACGAGCCTGCCAAAAGATATGTTCCAGCCCAAGATGGATGGTTCATTTCCCCAGCAGCACGTACGTGGAGCTGCTTCTCCTTGGGCTTAGCGTGCTGCCGAGTCTTCACTCATTGCCACGGTCATCGCTGCGCGTCCGGGACGGCAGCCCTGAGCGCAGTGCGGGAGCTCCCTCGCATCCGCGCCCAAGTCCACTAATGCAAGCCCAGGGCTCATTTTTCTGGTCCTCTAGCACAGAGATGCAGGCCTGTGTTGCCCAGCAGTCGCTTTGCTTCCAGCAAAGAGTCACAAGGTTTGCCATAGGCTTTGCAAACCACTGGATTGTTTCTTCCTTCTTTTTTTAGGTCCAGATTGGCTTTTGCAACCCCTTGCACAGCTCTGTCAAATGCAATAACTCCCTGCAATCTCTGGGACTCCCTGGGGAGGAAGAAGCCCTGGATTTTGCTCAGGGAACTCACGTTTCTGGGCACAAACTCAAACTACCGTTGTCTGACGGGGGAGAGCCATGGGCTGTTCACCTCCCGGCGTCCAGCCCCGGAGCAGGGCTGGTTTCAGGGGGCAGAATTGCACCACACTGGCGCTGGCAATGAAACGGGAGCATCCCCTCGCCCTGCAGTACAGCAACAGTGCGAGAATAAACATGCTAAAGAGGCCCTCCAGGATGACAATTATGAGCGTTGGGAAAGGCACCTTAAAATAATTTGCCAGACTCCAAAGCAGCCTGAGCTCAGTGACTCGGGTGGCCAGCCCCAGCGTGAGCCCCGGCCCCTGCTTGGAAGAAGAGGCCGTTCATGAGGCGTAATGAGAAGCCGATTTGCAGGCTGCATCTCTGCAGCTGAACCTCAACAAATAGCTACAGCTGCCAAATAAATCAGGGCTTTTCCTTCCAGATTTTTAAATAAGAGTAAACAGTTATTTGTATGAAATATCTGCATTGTTTTATATGCCTGTTGAAAAGGCTCAGCCATTATTACCAATGATTTGATAAACAGTTATGTGTTTTTATAATAACAATCGATAAGGTAGGCAGGCAATGTGCACAGGGGGAACATATCACCAGGGATCTAATTAGTTTTTATTACTGTAATAACTCAACGGGTGGACCTGATGCTATTAAAAATAATGAAAGCTTTATCTCCACGATAATTATTCTTCCTTTGAAAGCATGTATGGATGCATGCACGCCCGCACCTATGAACGAGAGATAAGAGGATGAGCTCAAGTGATTCATTTTGTAATTTCACTTTCAAGCAGGGAACCTAACAGGATTTGGTAGGTGTCTTTAGCCACGTCACAGCGTGAGTAAAGCGAGACAGGGATCTCTGTACCGTTCGGCTGGTTACGTTCCCTGGGCTCCCTCTTTTCCCCT